TGTTGCAACTTTGTGCTGCTGTGTATCAGGATCTCATTGTTGACTCCATCTTGGCCACAGGCTTTGCGTGGTCTGAGGGCCTGGAGTTTGTCCAGTAGCTCCTGCTCACTGATTGGGGAGTCTAAGAGGTTTTGGTTGTCTTTGATCGCCAATTCCAAACTTTTGAGTTTTTCATAAATGGTGTTTTGGTCTGATTGATTTGTATTTGGGAGATTTTTATAGAACTTTTCAAAGTATGCTTGCCAGATTGTTCCATTTTGGATGGCCAATTCTTCTGATTTTGATTTGTTTAAATTGTTCCACTTCTCCCAGAAACAGTTCTGATTTAGTGACTCCTCAATTTCTGCAAGTTGTTTGTTTATGTATGTGTTTCTTTTGTTTTTCAGTGTGTGTTTGTAAAGGTTTACCGTGTCACAGTACCTGAGGCGCAGATCTGTGTTTTTCGTTTGAGACTTTTCGTAGTGCATTTCTGATGTTTTTGCACTCTGTATCAAACCACTTTTCTTTTGCTTTTTGGTAGTTTTGTCTACCTCTTGTCAGTACAGGAGAGAGGCTGCTCCTGCAGGCCAGTGTGAGCTCCGTTCTCTCAGGGACCACTAGGGGGAGCCCTGCTGCGGGATTCTGCTTTATGTAACTGTCATTCAAGAGCAAATTCTCAGTTTTAAATGTTTCACGCTGCTGTGTTAGTAGTGATCACAACTGACACCTCAAGGATAAGCAGGAGCTAGTCAAAGTTCATAAATAGTTCAAGTAGGGAGCTGCATCAGCATGGGTAGAACAAGGAAGGGTTTACTTTACTGAAACAATGAACACCTGAAGAAGGCTCCACAGCCAAAATGTTTCTTTGCTTTTCAGCAAAGTTCATAAATATCTAGACATCTGGCAAGAGTGCTTTTATGTTTCATATTCATGTTAATAGTGTAATGTTCATTGTTCAACAATGAAACAGACTTTAATGAACATCAACCTGGTTTGCTGTTCACTGCTAACATCTCTTAGTGCAATATTACAGTGTGCTTACATTGCAGTGCTGTATATCATTATATATAATTCAGCAGCTGAAGTCTAGACCTGGATAATTCACCAGCTGAAGTCTAGACCTGGCTTCCTTCATCTGAGCCAAGCCTGTTGTACACGCTGCCCTGGGCGACAGTGGTTTGTGTGTCTGCTGTTTGACTGGGGCTCAGGGCTCTGGGGTGCTGTAGCTCAGGGCTCAGGGCTCAGGCGTCTGGGGGCTCGGGGTTCTGGGGTTCCGTAGCTCTGAGGAGGTGGGACTCTGCTCACACTGAGCTCTAGATGTACTGCATGGCAACTGAACCTGAACTCCAGCTCTCTGGCTCTCGGAGTCAGTCAGCTCTGAGCAGCTCCGCTCTGCTTCTGGAGGTGGGTCGGCTTTCAAAGAGGCCTTATAGTGTTGCCCCACGACCTCACACAGCTCCAGCCAAGGGTTAAAGGTCACCGTCCCTCTGGGCTCATGGGCTCAGTAGATGGTCCGCTTCCGAGACCCACAGCTGGGCTCCCTGTGTCTGGCAGGGCTCAGGCTGAGGACTCGCATGCGTGCGGAGGGAGGGGTGAAAGTTCACAGCCCCTCTGGGGTGCCCAGTCCGGTCCGGGTGTGGGCAGAGGGAGGGCTCAGTCCTGCAGAGCTCACAGGAGCCTCCAGCCAGGGGTGAAAGGTTGCCATCCCCCTGCAGTGAGACCCCCTGTTTCTGCAGGCCAGCTCTGTGTGTGAACTGCGCTGAGCCCTTCAAGCCTCAGCCTCCCGCTCTGTCCTGTTATCTTGCTGAGTGTGCTGTCTGCGCCGCATGGCCGACCACCTGCTTATCTCCGCGCCTCGGTCCTGTGTGGGTGTCTGTATCTCGGAGCCACACAGCCGCGCCCTCA